GAACTAGGAAAACCTGAAAGAAAGAAAGAAAAAAAGCTGGGCACTAAAGAGAATTGTGCGCCAAGATGCTGCCACCTTCTGCCCTGAGCTGGTACTGCACCCTTTTCGAGCAAAGCAAATCCAGTCCTATTGGTATTAGTAATTCTGTTTAGCATCCTTGGGGTTCTGGGCCTCACAGTCCAAATCCCGGAGCTAGAGCTCAAAGAAGATGAACGGAAATGGCTTAGGTTTAGCCCAGAGTCTCCTCGTGGGGGTTGAGAAAATGCAGGGAGAATAGAAGAATGAAAGGGGAGGAAAACTAGTTCCTTGTTGCATCAGGCGTCTCACACACAGCGGTTTTTAAAAATCTTTGTGAAATGGACCCTAAAAGTCATGTTGCAGACTAGGAAACAGCCTAAGAAAGTGTTAAAGGATGTTTTTTACAGGGTAAAATTGTGACTCGTGTGCACAAGGATTTTATTTAACGCATTCATGAGTGAAAGAACCAGTAAGATATGTCTCCATTGTACAACATGGTCCACTACCCACAGGGAACAGCTACCCGTGTCTCCATTGTACAACAGGGACCACTCCCCACGGGGAACAGCTACCCATGTCTTCATTGTACAACAGGGACCACTCCCCACGGGGAACAGCTACCCATGTCTTCATTGTACAACAGGGACCACTCCCCACGGGGAACAGCTACCCATGTCTTCATTGTACAACAGGGACCACTCCCCACGGGGAACAGCTACCCATGTCTTCATTGTACAACAGGGACCACTCCCCACGGGGAACAGCTACCCATGTCTTCATTGTACAACAGGGACCACTCCCCACGGGGAACAGCTACCCATGTCTTCATTGTACAACATGGTCCACTACCCAGAGGGAACAGCTACCCGTGTCTCCATTGTACAACACGTATTTGCATCTCCGTGGACAAGACTTTTTTATTATCACCAGTTTTCTACCCCCCCCCCTCCCCGCCCAGAGTTGTCAAAGAGCTCAAAGACAAGGATGGCTGGTCAGATAACCCCAGCGGCGTCCGCTAGACCAGCGATCTTCAACATTTTCCATCTCAGGGCACCCATAAACTAACATCTGAAATTCTGCGGCACACCCAAAAAAATATATTTTTTGCCGATCTGACAAAAACACACACAAAAAAAGAGGTATAATTGTGATTCATTCGCGACGGATGTCTGGCTCCTGTAGTGTTGTCTGTGGTCGTGTTTTTATTCGCCGGTCTAAGGGGAAGGGGTCCGTGCACCACTGCGAAGCCAGGGACTGGTGTTTTATAAATTCTTGTGGCGGCACCGGCTGAAAATCGCTGCCCTGGACTGTCCAGGGTGAAATGAGCTGCCTTCAAGGCTTCAGCGCTGCTAAGAGATCGGACTTCAAACCCGGATCCGTGTTTCCATCACTTCCGTCTTTCCTCTGTGCCGATATCGCTTCTGCACAGTGAGGGTGGTTTTCCGCGGAGATCTGTGGCACTGACCGCTCGTCACCCGTTCAGTTAAAATTCCTCGGTCTCAAGAAGGGAGCCCTGCCCTAGCGGGGGTGGCTCAGTGGATAGAGCGTCGGCCTGCGGGCTGAAAGGTCCCAGGTTCGATTCTGGTCAAGGGCATGTACCTTGGTTGCGGACACATCCCCAGTTTGGGGTGTGCAGGAGGCAGCTGATTGATATTTCTCTCTCATCGATGTTTCTAACTCTCTATCCCTCTCCCTTCCTCTCTGTAAAAAATCAATAAAATACATTTAAAAAAAAAAAAAGCCACGAACCTCGGTTGCAGGCTCCTCCCGGGCCTGGGCCCTGGTCAGGGCACATGCAGGAGGCAACCAACCGATGTGCTTCTCTCACATCGATGTTTCTCTCTGTCTCTCCCTCTCTCTCCCACTCTCCCTAAGAATCAACGGGAAATACCTTCTGGTGAGGATTAAAAAAGAGAAAAAAGAAAAGAAAGGCGCCCTGTCCTCCCCCCGGGACAGAACCTTCAGCAACTTTCCAAGCTCTTTTCCCAACGCCAGTCATGGCCGTCTCAGGGCGTCCCTCATGGTGCGGACAGACGGACAGACGATGTTCCCTCCCAGGCCCGGAGGGGCGGGGGCCTGGCCCGGCCTGAGGGGCCCATCAGACCTTCTGCTTGGGCTCCACTGGGCGCTGGTACAGCCGGATGATCCCCTCGTCATGCAGCCGCTTCCAGAGCGTCCTCTCCAGGGCGAAGTCGTGGTTGATGTAAAAGACCGTCTTTTTCCACGACCGGTCGTAGTAGTGGTCGGAGAAGCGCTCGTGGCCCTCGGTGATGAAGCCGTAGGCGCTCACCTGCGTCGAGGTCGGTGGAGAAACAGCCTGTGTCGCTCTCTCCTGGCCTCTTCTCAGGGTCTGTGTGCGCCGTGTCCCCCTTCCCCTCCCAGGTCTGGGTGCAGGCCCCTGGTGCACCCGCACCCCAGCCCACGCCACCGCTGGACGGGGCAGTGCCGAGCAGGCGGGAACCCCAGAGCCGTCTCCCGTCCGCCCCC